ACTCGATCGCAAACCGAAGCTAAAATTAATATTTCAAATTAGATTGATCGTCTAGTATTTAATTATGATGTTAGTAAGCATCTTAAAAATCTGTAAATAATTTAATTGCGAAAAATATTACCTTAGCCGAAGTTTGAACCTGGAATTTCTGATTTTTTCTGAAACAGGCGTTATACAATTCGATCATCGAGGCATGTATAAAGTTTTACAGTTCATACGAATAACATAAACGGATTTCGGATTACTTGTCCGAACGAACAATACTGAGTTTGTAAAATTGAAAGTATAGAAAAATATATTAGCTTGAACGTAATTTATGTGTATACATATGTATGTTTAGCAAATATTTAAAATGGTAAATAGAGTAGTAATTATGTCTAGCAGTAGGTGCTCGATTTTGCAAGAGATGACATTACAATATGTTAGATAAGGACAGATGTACTTGATTGAGCAAAACGATAATGTAAGAAATAAATTAAAAATATCTACATTTTAATTTGGAATTTAAAAAAGTCTGTACTATCGACAACCGATCAAATTCGGCCATCGCGTTAACATCCCCTTAACCCTTGACTTCCTGTAAATTAACAATAAAAAAATAAAATAAATTCGAATAATAATAAGCAGCTTACGATAATCAGCGCATAATTTTCCAAATGAATAAACATTAGCGAAGATTATGGTATTAATGTATTAATGTAATTTTTATACAAATATGTATGAATAATTATAATTTGTGAGAGATGCAAATAGGACATATACATATCAACAATTTTTGATAAAATCACATATGCATTTTTTGAAGAGTCCCTCGAAAAAGAATGAGACAACACCGAGATTGTGATATTATGCAGGGAAAGTAGGTCACGTATAAAAAAAGCTAATAATTATGGAAATAGCATGCATTATAGACGAGATACTCGTACAGGACGAGGTGTCCTAGAGGTCCTCATATGTGAACACATTTGTTTTTGCACGTTAAATACAAAGGTGGATTATGCGTTAAAGGATGGGACATTTTCAAAAAGGACTTCGTACTCCGCTATTACGTGAATTTTATTTTGTACAATTTTCCGCGCTTTGATTTAGAATACGTCACGCCTACAATAATGAATTCCATTGCAGCGTTATATCTCGTTTCCATTGTGTTGATGAATTATCTTATAGGTTGCATTCAACTGGAATTGCGTTAGCGTTTGTAGAAATTAAATGAAAGATGGAAGGAGATTTTTCCTTCTGTTCTGATGTATATTATTCTCAAATCGCGCAAGCGAGACGAACCCTGAGACGAACAATAAAATAAATTCCTTCGAATGTTTGTTCGCAACTCGTTCCGCAAACGTCTCGCAACTCTGAGGTGAGAATTGCTTTTCCCGCTCTCTTGTGTGCAAGCGAGAAGGGAGAACACGATCGCGCGAAATCGAAAAAATGAAAACTATGAAAAATCGTATCATATGGCGTGGGGGGATAAAATTCTTCCCTCACAATTCTTTATTCTTCTCAAGAGTAATGGTCATTCTGACACGTTTCTGCTCTGACACGTCTCGCCGACGGGAGATCCCCGTAATATTACGGACGCGTCGAAGGCTCGGGCACGTTCCTGGTCTTCCGAGCGCGCCGAGGATATCCGTCCACGTGCTGCATATCCAGAGCATATCTCCTACGTTCGTTCTTCTCTCCACCTTCATTCCTCTCGCTGTCTCGCGAGAGCTAAATGACCCACATACGTCGAATTATGGTCCCGCGAGTTCCGCGGGAATCGGAATCCACGGATTTCCGCCGTGTCGATAAGAAGACGGACGTTCCGTTACCTCGTCCATCTAATCCGACTTACCACGATTGAGGTGCCGGTCTGATAAGCGGTCTTCAGATAAGAAAAGCGTACTTTGTATAGCAGTCGCCTAACTCCGCGTGAAAATGTTGAGATTCCGAGAGACACGAATCTCGATAAATCAATATCGATAATTAGAGAACGAATAGAATATATATATTTATTTATAAAATAGGACAATAACTTCTCATTGTATAAGAATACACGCGAAATTAAATAAAAAGACCAATTCTGTGACATAAAATATCTGATCTTTAATCATAGAATGCTATCGAATATTGAATGATATATACAAGTATTATTATTAATAAATTTTATGTACAAGGAAATAGGTCACTCTTAATTAATATAACACAATATTTATAATATAGACCTATATAAAACAAATAACCTAATTTATTAATATAAAAGGAAAGAAAGATTAAGCATTCTATTAAATTTAATCTTGAAATAATATAAAGCATGTAATCCAAGTATGTATATTCTTCATTTAAATAAAATATGGAATAACATAACCTACTTAAAAATTGGAATCACTTACCACGCGCTCTGTTAGACCGTTACAATACTGATGACAGGAAGTTCAAACTGATATGTAAAATGGACAGAATTTTTAAAAGCTAACTTGTTCCAGCTTTTAGTATAGCAGATTAAACTCCTAATGGCCACTAAAGGCATACTCGCTCACTTGTACATAAAATTTATGTATCGATAGCGTTTGAGGATTAAAATCATGGACTATTCTCTTTTCTTTTTCTATTTCCAACACATAGAGAAAAATATTTATTTTTAATAGATTTTAATATCCTGCGACTTATTATCATAAAAATGAATAAATAGACAAAAAGAAAATCCAATATATTATTACATAATAATAACCTGTTATTTCAAGATTACAAATTCATCGCTAAACAATTTTCTATAGGTGCATTTTAAATGACCCACGTTTTGCAGAGTAATTACAACGCGTACCGAGACGCAAGGTGATCATTATCGGTTACGTGATCCGTTATGCACCGCGGGCTTGAAAGTGCAACGTGGCGCAATCGATATCACTTAGCAAACGGTGGGTTCTTTTACGGTCTTTCGTGCAGAGGAATCCGTACGGGTGATGCGGAAAAACTTTCCTGAAAGATTAGGCGAGGTGGCGTCAAACGCAGCCAGTCGATTAGGTTTCCCTTGGGAGTCGTTGTCTTTCGACGATCGATCGTTCCCGGATTCGACGACCAGGAGGTGATTGTCGTAAGGAAGGCGCATGGAAATGATGCGATTCGCTGTGTCACAGGATTAGTGCGTTTTCCCGCGACGACGTGAGTTCCCCTGTTTGAACTGGTATTCGTCTGATACTCGCGTCTATAATGTAAAACGTCGCCATCGTCGCATCTCGTGAAATTCACAGCACCCGCTTACTGTCTCTTATTTACAGACTCCTGCGACAAAACGCACTCTGTCGTTTCTTACTTATGGCTTCGTCTCATTGTGCGAGTCCAACGGTGCGTAATCGTCGCAAGCTAGATGTAAACTCGCGCGTTCGCTTAAGGACTTCAGCATAAAGATAGTAACTGAGTTGTGAAACGTGAGTCGTAGTCGTAAGTCAACGCACAATGTTTTGGTCAATCTATAACTACGACTTACGTTCCACGACTTAGTTACAACAATCTTTGTGCTGAGGTCCCAAGCCATAACCACAGTAGATTACACGATTGTGATCAATGATTGACGATTATTTTTCAACCAATTAGAGCAAAACAGTCACTGATTGCTTTGCTCTAATTGATTGAAAAGTAATCGTCTCTCTCTCTCTCTCTCAATCACCAATCACAATCTTTTTTTTCACAATCAAAAACAATTATTTATTTATAATTAATTATTACACTTAATTATTCACTTAAAATTATTAATAATTACAATTATTTTGAAAAGTCAAACATTTTAAAATCTTCTATCTTTTATACAAGAAATATTAGCTTAAACAATAAAAATGATTAATAACGATGCAAAAAAACTGCTCCCTTTATATTTCTAGTGATAATTGCTTTTGTATTAAATTTTTAGCAAGTATTACGACAAAATAATGTTGCTATAATGAATATTATTCGGTTATATATTGTCTTTTGATCATCTCGTGTAATTTTTTATTCATACTATAGTAAGTTGAGTTATAGATCTTATATTTAATAATGAAACTTTAAAGCGATGTTAATCGCATAAATATGTGAAATATCCTTCTGTATACACGTAATGTCCTGTCACGATTGAGAGGGCACCACTATGCAGGCAGGTATAATGATCCTTCAAATATATAATGCCTCTGAAGGACACCAAACTGGATCGACCATGAAACGTGATACACAGAAAATTAATCCCAACCCAAGTATATAGCTTAGAGACTTTTTTTTCCACAAAAAAAAGTCAAATTCACGCGATACCTTAGTAAATGAAATTTGTAATTTTTATAATTCGATTGTTTGATATATAATTCGATTCTCTTTCAATTTTATATGAATTAAAAGAAAAACAAGTACATAGATTTAGAAAAGTGCAAGAAAAAAGTCTTTAGAAAATTGCAGAATTTTACGATATTTGATTACCTTTATAACATCAAATTTAGAAGAGAAATTTGTTTATGTTTTATACTTGTACACGCATGAAATAAATAATACGTTACGTTAGATAATTTATTATCGATCGAAAACTGCTAAATAAATATTCCACTGTGAAGACGATAAAAACTAGTAAATATTTTCATATAAGTCAAATCCAACAATCAAGAGATCATCGGTATAACAACGGGTCTTCCTAGACCCCGAAACCCAAGAGGACGAATCGGAGCAGCGTACAAATTCGAGCTCTCCATCCCCTCGTCCGCCCCTCTCCTGGAGTACATGTGCGTCGAGAGGACGGGACCGCCCGTTCCCCTCACCCTGTATCCCTTTTGCCCTCCCGTGGGTTTTGTGTCCGGCACCCTTGTGAAAGGAGTCCGCCACACGCATCCGAAGAAAGAAGAGGAATCGGTCGACTCAGAATAGGGGCGCGGAGAGGGGATCGCCAACGCAATGGTACATGGTGGGGTGGTCTCTTGTAGGGTAGGGTGAGTCGTGACGGTCTTGGTGGGAGCCAGCGACCGAGCTCGAAGCGACGGACGATCGTACGGAGCAACAGTGTGCCGCGCGCGGCCATGAAGCGACGGTCGTTTCAACAACAAGAGAGATAATAAGGGAGAGAGAGTAGAGTGTTTGTGTGACGACAGGCAACAATAAAGTCAAGAATCTAGAACGATCTAGAAAAGTTTCAATCGCAAACTGACTTGGGTCGAGGTGAAGTTTCGGAGCACCTCGATGGATTCTGCAACACCATCATTGATTGGAGTAACACAGTGAAATAAAACAAGAAGTAGCATCTTATCGGTCAATGTTTCTCGTGTTAAACCTAGTAAGTGAGAATTTGGCAGAGATCTTCGTCACCTCGCCTGGAATTAGGGCAAATATTTCGCGCGGCGAAAAGAAACGGGAAGTGCCGAGGAGGTTTCGATATACGTCGCGGGAAGTGAACGTGAAAATTGAGTGATAGGGGGAAATAGGGCGGTGGTATATTGGCGAGAAAAAGGGAAAGCGGAAGAGGAGTCTCGTTTGCCGCCGGTCGAGTGCGAAAATTCGTGATCGTGAGTGAATGGATCTCACCGACGAGACTCGCGGTTGCCGATATCCCAAGCTAGAAAATTCAACCTGGTAGCTCGCCCCGATTAGATTTTCCACGTCTCGCCGTAGTAAAAGAGAGAAGTTGTCCTTCCGGTCCGCTCCAGACAATCCGGCGAATTTCGCCAATTCCGTCGCGGACGTGAGAAATCGACTCGGTTGTGAGTAAACTCGTTCGAGATCATCCACCTCCGGACGGATCTTTCAAATCCTCTCGGAGCAAGTAGAAAGGTACAGCAACAAGGTGAATCGCAAGATCCGTGCGATGAAAACTGACGAGTGAAAAACCACGTTCGACGTGCCTTCGACGATTACGTTGCTCATCTCAGGATAAAAGGAAACGCAGTCGAAGTGCTTCGCGAGTGCGTTTGACTTGGAGAGAGTTCTGTCGCGAGTAACCGTATGATTTCTACCCCGTCTTTCCGCGGCAAGCGAGAAAGTACCCGACGCTTTGCCGCCGGTCGGAGTTTACTGACCTCAGCAGTACGGAGTTGGCGACTGCCCTTCGCGACGACGAAGGGAGGCGACTAGACGGCCCTTTGTGCCGACTTCAAGAGTGTCTCGCAACACTGCAAACAGGGCGGAATTACCTTTCTCGGAGCTGCATATGGCTGCCGCATGCGGCTTTTTAGATTTCCCTCTATCGTCTGCGAAGACTCATCATCAGCTACATCATCTTCGTACCGCACGTCTTCGTGCTGCGTCATCAACTTTGCGAAGCGATTTCACGTGTGAGGATCGACGAGTGAAATATCGCCGAGTGAAGTGTCGTGCGATTTTCCTCCGCAATCTGTGCCCTTAGTGTTATCAGCAAAGTAGTTTGTGTGACAACGAGGGAGAGGGTTGCAACGACTTGCAACTCTGTCACGCCGTTCGCGAAAAAGTGTTTCGCGCGAGCGGAATCAAGTGCAAGGAAAATCGTCCGCGGCAGAGATGCGCTCGTAGCGAATCGACGACTTCGTCACTGCAGTCGGAGCCGGATTTCTAAGGTAAGTGACGCACGTTTACCATGTCGTCGTCGTCGTCATTGTTGCTCGGAGACAACGAAGGCTGATACCGTGGCTTATCTCGAAAGTGAAACATATCGGACTTTGATAAAGATCAGCTTGTGTTCTCGTCGATAAACGAGGAATCCCCACGAAAGAAAATAGAGCAGGTAATTGACTCGAGAATACAACTCGACAAAAATAGAAAGTACAAAAGAATACTTGTAAAAAAAGTGGAAGATGTTCGACGTGTCTTTGGTGTCTTTGACTGTGAATAATATTGGGAGGAAAAAACGTGAAATTGCCTGAAAATTTTAAGAATGTATAACGTAAAAAATTCAGGGTTAATGCGCAAAAAAGTAATCGCGGTACTTGTAAAAGACATGAATTTTTAACAGCGATGTAACGAAGAATTTTTTAATTCTATTATAGTTCGAATAATAATGAGAGTAAAAGAGAATGAGATTACGTGTTTAACGGTACAGTGCCGGCCAGTCCATTCAAATAAAATGCAAACTGAAACTTTCGAAAGGTCAGTAACTGCAATTCTCGGGATAAAGGTATCTGGAAACGAACGTTCGTAATTGGTACAGGTTCGTTTTCATTGAGGACATGTGGTTTGGATTGAGAGAGTTTTTTGTTTTAATGAAAAGCAATAAAAAACGAGGAATTAAAAATATCTTTTTGCGAGTGCGAATAACGCGTGCATCACGTGGCGAGTTTTGGAGCGTGAAGAACGCGCACCATTTTTTCGGGTCCTCCTTCGACCGACCATCGTTACTGTGTTCCTTTTTCGCGCAACCCGGCGCAAAGAGGATTACCTCGAATCCGCTCCTAAAAGCATCTCGACGAGCGACGATTTCCATCGCGAGGGGCCTCACCTCGCGCGGATGAATGACCCATTCCGCGTGGATTATCGCGCGATCGATCGCGGATTTGCGACATTTCGTGCTGCGAGATCCTTCTAGACTAACGACCTTTTCTTTGTTGATAATAATTTATTTGTCGTAATAATTTAGATTGAAAATACTTCTCCAGAATCCAGAATATGCATTAGAATGACATATTGCTCAGAAAAGAATTAATACAATTGAATGAAAGTAATAATCATGCATAGAATGAGAAGATTTTACATTTAAAAATTTAGCTAGATACAGATATAAAATAATTTCGCTGGATCATCAAAATATTACAATTATGTAGGACACTGAAGTTGGTAGAATGTCAAAACTTTTTGCAACATTGCTCATTAATTAAACTTTAACCTAATGTTTTTGATAGTTGAACAAAATTGTTTTCAGATCTGTAGCTACTTAAAGTTTTAGATACTTTAGTAAAATTATTCTTTCCGAGTGGATTTCATTTCAAAACTTTTAATTCTTTAAAATAATATAATATTATTTATATATATATAGAATTTGTCAATATTATGATTTTGTTAATGTTATGATTATCTTCGGATTTCGTATCACAATTTAATTGATTTAAATAGCAATTTGATCAGATATTATATTTAAACTACAAATTTAATTTAAACTACTAACAAAGTTTTTTTTTACATTCTAGCAACCATTTTGAGCGTCTTAATTATTTTGATAGTCCAACTAAATTATTTTCAAATTTGTATCTAGCTAAATTTTTTAATGCTTCGATAAAACCCATTCTTTCCATGTAATAGTAAAAAATTAATGTTTAAGAAAATAATAAGTGCTTTTGAGACATGCTCTCGGTTTACTCGACATTGCGGACTTGACAAAAATCTTAGATTTCAGCTCGCTGTTTCGGGAAGGTGTGCTTTCCCGAGGGAAAATCCAGGACAGGCGATAAAATTTTACTACCGCTCGAGCTGCTGAGAATATCGGCGAACCGAGGTTTTAACGCATCGTGGTCGCGACTTTCGCATGTACTTGCACTTTTCATCGACCGCGCGTCTTGGAGCATCTTGCGAAAGCATCTCGACGATTGGGAGGAATTTAGAATCGGGAGCGTCTCGTCGTTCTGGAAAATTCAATAAAGTTGGAATCTTATCGTAAATTCACGTGAAATACACGTTACATTTTCACGAGAAACTGTCGTTTTTGCGAGCCACGTGTTACATCATGCACATTACGCATCTCGTACAACGAGGTCCGATTCTGTTCCCTTCCGTTAATTCCACGAGAGTGCATTCTCCGTCATAGAAATTTTTCTCATCGACCTCGTGAAGGGTACCCATGCCACGTTCCGACTTCAACCGATTCCAATCGCCCGACTTCTTGTTATTTTCTTGAGTGCATTTGAGCGACAAGGATTTTTCCTCGACGACGAGTTCAGCCATCTCACTATAGCCTTTCCGAAAATAGTGAAAATTTCATGTTACGCTCGACTTGTGCTGCGCAACTTGCGCTTCTTGTTTTCCAAGCACATCGAGTGACAGGATCTTTGTTGTGAATTAGTTCCACTTCAATTCTCTATTCCGAAAGAGAATATTTTTAAAATACCTGCGTTCTCTGTCGATTGACATCACGGTTTATTATTTTTTTAACTATTTTGATGTTTTTTTTTCATCAAAAGATTGACACTGAGAAAAATGGTTTGATTGAAAACGGACAAATCAGAAGATTCAGACTAAATCAATCAAAATTCCGGTTATTTCAATTAGAATTTAAGACAATTTTCTGATTAAATTTTTAATTTCTGATTTAAGTTTTCTCAGTGCAGTTTCTTACAAGGTGGTACGAAATATTATTGTCAAATCATTTCCCTTATATATATCACATTTATTTTTAGCAAAATTAGTATAAAACTACTATAGAATTATTAAAGCCTGAAAAAATTGGATAATATATCGAATAAATAAATAATTAAATAATAATATGATATTTTGTATGCCACCGCGTATTATATATATATATAAAATATGTGGAAACCCGTAAAAATCGCTACGCAAGTCCTCGATTGAGTCAAGTTGTGGCTTCTTGTTATTTTCTCAAGTGCATTCCGACTGAATTTTACGTCTCGACACGAGTTTCCCAATACAAGTATCATAATACAAGTATCAAACTGCGCGTTTGAAATCCGCGAAAATCTCCATGGACGTTACAACTTCAATCGAATAAATATCGCTTATTTTATGTATATATATTTTTTTTTAATGTATATTATATATATAATATAGTGTCTCACAATATATATGCGATATTATTTTTAAAATATTATTTCATCATAATTAAAATAATTTTTTTAGATTCTTATAGCATTCAAGTAGCATTTTTATAGATTTTTTGTGATTTAGAATATATAGGTATATAAAATTCTAGTTATAACTGTAATAAATTTAACATATATAAAATAAGATAAAATTAAAAACTCTTTAAATAATCATAAGAATAACTTCAAATATCAACAATGTATAATAGCAAAATTGTGTTGTTCTGCACACATTAATCGTTATGTCTGAGATTTATCTACTTTTTATTTATTTTTCATAAATAAAATAATAATTTATGTTTTTATTCCTTTAAATGATACACGATTCTCGCAGAGTTCCTTGATGATCTTTTTGGAGTCTCATATGGCGTTCCATTCTCGCGACAGGTTGATCGAATCAGCAAGACTGGAATTTTTTCGCGGTAAACGTAACACGATAGCTCTACGCTACGTCCAGATCCAATACCGTGCCAGACACTAGAAAGAAAAAGGGAGAAGCGTAGAGAATGCCGGTATGATCTGACGACTAAAAAAATGTAGGAAAGTAGAGAGAAAAATGGAGTAGCGTACGGATAGTGAGAATGATGAAAGTAATCGTAAACTTCACGAAAAGATAGAAACATGAAAAATTAATTTCGCCCTTCTAAATAACAGAATGTCACATCGGTGATTTCGAGAAAGAAAGTCAAATCGCGATCTAGCTTGTCAAGAATTAATAACGTCACGCGATGAAAGAGCGGAAGTTAATTAGCCGAGTTCGCACTTCGCCGAGCTCGGATTTCTTTTCTAGCAATACAGAAAGAAACGGCGTATCTTTCTTCGCGCGAAGAACGCGACTCTATTCTTGGATTAAAGAGAGTTACGACGCAAACGTACTCAGCCAGAAGGGTGGGTGATCTCGGGATTAATCTCGTCGTGGCGGCGAAGGAATCCCGGATCCGGGAGTTTATAACTGCGACTGACAGTTATTAGAGACAGTTATGGGGGTGCCCTTCGGCGAAAATGCGAGCATGTCCCGCGGTCTCCTTATTCGCGGCACTTACTTTATTTCAGTCCTCTCGAACGTGATATCGAGTCAGTGTCCTCATAGAGATAAAGTGCACGTTCTCGTGTAGAAAATTACTATCCTCTCTGTGCCCAACGCTGTCGGTGCCAAAAGCGATTTAGTCAACGACGCCGGAATCATCCTGATACCTCCTGACGGCCAACGAGCGGATTGAAAACAACATTGTTCGCTCGATCGTTATTATTCTGTCAGAAAATCCTGGAAGAAATGGCACGCCTTGACGAACGTATATCGGACGGAACGTCCTTAAGCTAAACACGCTGAATGAATTTTTGTCGAACGAGATATTCGTCTATTGTGTTTCTTTTTTTGCACGGTTCTGAAGAATTATATACAGTCCTGGCCAAAAATATTTAGACACCTTGTAACTATTAGGTGTTGGAATTAATTCGTAGCGTTTTTAAATGAAAGAATGTTATTTATTTCACATGAGCATTAAAAAATACATTAATGAAAGTACTTCCCATCACTTGTAAAACGCTACGAATTAATTCCAACACCTAATATTATTTGAAGTTCTAGTTAAAAAATGTGATACGAATTTAGACCGAGGAGAATAAATATAATTAAATACGAAAATTCCTATGTTCAGTCGAAGGATCTTAGTGCTTAGATATTTCTGTGTGAATTTATATATATATATATATATATATATATATATATAATATCTGATATCGCCGAAATATTTTT